ACGCGCGCGACCGCGACGCGGCGACCCTGGCGCTCCAGGCCGAGCTCCAGGCCGCGTCCGCCGCCGTCGTCGCCGCCGCGGAGCGGCGCCGCGGCGGCGGCGGCGGCGACGCGCTCGGCGACGCGCGCGCGGCGCTCGACGCGCTCAAGCGCACCTTCGTCGCGAACGGGGCGGGAAACGAGTGATTCAAGTTCGCTTCAACGTGAGTGTTCCGCGCGCGCGCGTTCCGGAAAAAGCATCCACGCGTCGAGAGCGCTCCGAGAGATGATCGCTCGTCCAAAAATTAGCCGAAACGAGTGGAAACCGACCGAGATAGGAGCCTTTGAAGTTGGGAATTTCGCACTCTTTTCCTGCCCAGGTCGCGAAGCGCGCCGCGGACCTCGACGTCTGCGACGCGGTCCTCGGCCTCGAGGGCCGCGGCGCGGCGCCCGGCCCGCGGGGCGACCGCCTCGCCGCCGCGCGCGCCATGGCCCTGCGGGCGACGGCCCACGCCGCGCGGACCGCGGGCGACGGCGCGCGCGTATCCGCCGTCGACGCGGCGACGCGGCGCCACGGGAACCCCGCGGCCATGGGCGACCCGCTCCTCGGCGCCTTCGACGCCGTCCACGGCGACGTCGCCGCCCTCCTCGCCGCCGGCGCCCTCGCGGCGCCCAGGGGGGCCGCGCCCCTCGACGACCACAACAAAGCCCCCCCGCCGCCGGGGTCGGCGAAGAAGTCGCCCCTCGCCGCGCTCCTCGGCAGCGCGTAACGCTTACGACTCCCAGACCATGGACATGGTCCCGTCGGGGGCCGTCACGACGCGGCCGCAGCGCAGCGGGGCCGCGCCGCCCGCCGGCGCCGGCCGCGGCGCGGCCGGCGCGGCGCCGGCGCCGTCCCCGGGCGCGGCCGCGAGGAGCCGCGCGACGCCGCGGTCCCGCGCCGCGGCGGCGTCGCTCCGCTTCCTCGCCTCCTCGGCGTCGCGGCGCCGGGCGGCCTCGCCGTCGAGGCGGTCGCCGAGGGCCGCGGCCGCGGCCTCTAGCGCGG